TTACTAGATGAAAACTAAAGTATAACATGAAAATGACTATGCAAACCTACTTCAAAATTTGAGCTCCCTATAACAATAAATTCAAAAAAAACTCAAAAGGTCTAATAAAAAGATCATGCCATTGATGTACTGAGCGTTCACCCACCCACTCCTGCAATTCAGGTATATCACTTTTAAAAGAGAATTACAATTTCTCCTGGAAGGAGGACACATTTTTCAAAGACAGTCAGTGCATACACGTTGCCAGGACTGTTGTAAGTGAAAAAGCGATATCGCTGTTCAGTTAAGGATCACCAGTTTGCTGGCATTAAGCTAGGGTAAAGACAGTTTCGAATCAATGCAGGTGCAGCACTCTGCGCCCCAGCTGCGATTATCTGAAAGCGCGTTTATTAACAGTACAAAGCACGCTACCAAAAATCGGGTAGGCCCACACCCCTCGCCCAAGCGGCTGCCGACGGGAGGCACGTGGCGTGTGGGCAGCACCAGCTTGCAGCCGCCCCCATTGCCAGGGACCCACAAACGTCCCAGCAGCGTGGCAGGAAGGTCCTGCACACAAAGTTCTCCCCTACCTAGGCTGCAGAAGCCAGCCCGTGCCCTCACACTCCCCCTCTTCTCCTTTCTTGTCCTTTTTTTTTTTTTCCTGCCCCACCCCCACCCCACCCACCCCCCTCGAGACAGGACACAGTCTGGCAATTCAGGGACTCACATAGGCCAGGCTTCCTTCTGTGCAGCCCTTTGGGTAGGGCGGCTAATCCTTCTTATTAATTAACGAGATAATAGCAGTTAACCAGAAAGCAATATTAATGCTAACTATCTAGGAAACTTCCAACAGAAACGATTTAGTCTTTCTGCTGATTTCCTGGTAACAAAGTCATGTAGCTGGAACTATAGCAGCATCTTGATGGTTTAAGAAGCTAAAAAACCCAGAGTGCCTGAACAGTATCGGACCAAGTACATCTGCATCTATTTTCTGTCATCCTTCTCAAATAGTTTAAAAGACCCTCCCCTCCCTCAACTTCAGAGTTTATTAACAGCTGGGGTTGCGGGCTCCCCCAGTTATATCACTCTTACACAAGGACAAAGAAGAGTGTAAACAGTAACGTGACTGATCTGAGAAATGTACTCTGAGATGCACATGCATTAAAAACACTTGCAAATGTTTACCATTTACATGTGCCATTGCTTCAGTCCTTTAAACTCCCAAAGCATTTCTCAAGGTCTACTATGCTTCATTCAATATGTGCTGAAATACCTAACATCAAGTTTGCATTTTATTTATGCTGCAAAAAAACAGCAGAGATGACACAGGGACTAAGAATTCTGCAGATGAGGCACTTTGCTATAGATATTTTATGTTTTAGAAAAAACAGCAATGCAATTTTTAATTTTTTTTTTTTAATTAGCCATTGTAAGAGTAAATAAAACATCTATCGGAAGAAGCGATTTATATTATCTGGGTTCTGTTGCAGCAAACAAGTACTGCAGCTTTCATTCACTGATTGTCAAAAACTTTCCAATGTGCCCACTGCAATGCGGATGCCAACCAACGAATCAAAGGCATTCAGCAACTAGACAAAGAGGGTCTGATGCCAACCTCGGTGCCACTGGCAACCATTATTGGCATCAAGCACATTGTCTGCCTTTTTTTTCCCCCTCTCCTGGCACTCGACAAACAAAATGGCGGTTCTTGTAGCAACGGGAACACAGCATAAGCGCTGCACTGAATCAAATACCATCAAATGATTTTATGGACCGAGATGTGTTTCATACCAAATGATAGACACTCTCTGATGCCTGACAGGAGGGGGGGGCAGAAAAAAAAAAAAAAAGGGAGTTTTGTCAACATTCATGCCATTTTCAAGGTTTGGGCTTTTTAAAAACTCGGGGGGGGAAGGGGTGGACCTGATACACACAGCAAGCAGAGTCCCACATAAGTGTGTTATGATTATTTTTATGTTAAACATTGATCACAATGTGTACTTCCCATTTTTTTCCTCCATTTCAGTCAAAGAAGCAGCACTGCAACCTGTGTCAAGCCCCTTTTTCTTTTTTTTTCTTTTTTTTTTTGTTTGTTTTAAGAAACTAAAGCACAAGAGGATAGTAGAAAGAGAATACGGGAAAAAAATACGCTAAATTCTGAGGGAGATGAGCGAAAAGTAGAACTAGATGAAGTTGGTCAATAACAGAACTTCACAGGTCGGTCCTTATTCCTTCTTTCAAGGCAGGCATAGAAGTAGAAGCTCTTTTTATTAAGAACTGAAAGGATTATTGACACTTCTAAATCTGGAAATTGTCAATATATTGTAACATTACTCTGCACTGCAATGCGGATGCCAACCAACAAATCACAGGCATCCTAGGCTAAACAAAGAAGGTCTGATGCCAATCCTGGTGCCACTGGCAACCATCACTGGCACTCGAACTATCCTTCCTCCTCTTTTTCCCCCTAATCTTCTTTTTTAAAGCAACAAAAACCAACCTACTTGGTCCCTTTATTCATTTTATGTGCTAATTCCTTCTTCGTATTTCGTTCAGGGATTTAATTGTTTCTGTGTCTCCACTTAGTTCTTACATGACACTATTAGGCGGGTTTATATATTATAAAAGAGAAATAAAAAGCAAAACAGCATGTGTATAATGCAGCATTTTGGTTCACTTCCTGCTTATCTTTTGCAAAGCCTGGTGCTCTTAATCAAGTGCACTACAAAGTGCCACAATTAACATGCTTTCAATGAGGATAGAGAATCAAAGTTTGACAAAACGGAAAAAAAATACAAAGATAACTTAATACAACTTCTTCAAGAAGAGAGTCAACAGATGTTAACGGAAGATTTACTGTGAAGCAGCGAGACAGATACAAAATACACACAGTTTACAATAAACAAAAGGGTCTACTAAGGGTGACTTGGTACATAGAAATTAGCTGGCTTCATCTTCCGGAATATTCTCAAAGTAGCACTGTGTAACTTTGAAAGTTATAATATTACAGCATGCTTATCTTACTCACTTCTGGTTACACAAGTGTTTTAAATAAACTCCTATTCTCAAGCCATTTAAATCAATAAAATCAGCTATGCCCTGCAATTCCTTCTCCCACTTCAAGTTACTGGCTTCCAACAACGTAAAAGTGGACAGTGAGTAAGAGTACTCTGACCCCAGCTTCTTCGGCTCAAGAGCTACTTAAACTGTTTTACCTCCCTTTGTAGTTTTGACTTCTAGATACAGGTAAATCCATCAGAATTAATCAGTAAGCTAAGTCTTGCAATATATGCATTCAAAATATCATTTGAATTTTTCTTCACAAAAGGAGTTTAAAGGTACAAATTACGTTTAATTAAGCTATTTTGTTTAATGCTATCAAAGAAATCTTTCTTCCTATGTTACTGGGGATCAGATTTACCAGAATCTGCAGCTATGTAAAGTCGCTGCAAAATATCTAAGAGTTGTCTACTGCTGTGGAGAGAAAAATACAAAAATTACAAGCAGAGGAAAGAAACAAAATAATGAACCATATTTTTTCATGATGAATAATCCAAAAAAATTGAACCCTTTTTATACATTTACATAAACATAGTGCTCCACTTGTGTGAGTAAATGCTAAAAGACAAATCCACCAAAAGCAAAAAGGTTGTGTTGTGTATCTGTTCTTTTAAAGAATGAGTACACACTGAATAAAGACATGCATAATTTTACTTTTTTTGTTACTAACAAAATCCATTCCGTTTGTTTTTCAGTTAAATCCCGCAGCTATATGTCGGGCATCAGATAACAGCCTGCCATCTGCCCTTTTGCAGGCCATTTCTGCCTACTACCAGGCCAAGTTGTGAAATGGCCCACCATCTGTGGCCAGTCAAACTTTCCCTAGTTGAGATCTGCGTCTAAAAAAGAAATGCTTTATTACTGCTGATCAGTCAGCAATACAAAGACATCTAGAGGATGGTATAATCACCAGAAATAACCAAAATGACCCCTCACAGAGAAAAAGCGTTTCAGAAGGCTTAGTATCAGAGAAAAACACCTTCATCTATTTACAGCCATTTACAATTTCAGGGAACTTGCCTATGAGTATTGTTAGCTGAATATGCAATACGACTAGCAGGTTTTTTCCTGATACGTGATTATCAGAAGCCCTGTTTTTATTTGCATTCTGTCAAACTAAGTTTAAGAAGCTTTTCCGTAGTGTTCCTGCAATTTTCCACATTTCAATTATCTGCCAAATAAAATCAAGTATGAGTGTGATTACAAAAATACACTTTTCGTGGAAAATTCTGTCAAAATATTACAACCTGGATCTTTGTTTTAAAGCTCAGATAGGTAAGATGAGCTAGTGATGTAAAATATGAACAAAACATTAAGCATTGTATGCTGCAATTCAGACTACTTGTGGTATTTACAAAGCAGTATTTCTGTGCTAAAGATTTTTCACATTTTATTTTATAGACCTGAGAAAGTCTACAATTGCTCTTCAAAGCAATAGTAGGTTCATCAGTTTAAGGATGAATTCTTGATTACTTGTAACTACAAAGACAATAATAAATATTTGTAGAATGTGTTGTGATTGTGCAATTGCACACACCTGCATCCGTTACTAACAGTACTGGGGGAACTAAAAAAAAAAAAAAAAACTTGAAAACAAGAAGAATGTTTTCTGAAGTCACAACTGGAAAAACTACACAATATATTGCCACTTTTTGACCAAGAAAAAAAAAAAAAAGGCAACTTCAACAGAACTGAAGTACTACCTCGGTATTTCCCATTCTCTCTTGAAAGAGAACAAGACAGATATGTCAAACATACATGTAATTTACACAGGTCCATAGGAATGGGTGTGTATGTAAGTATATACGTATACATGCTGACTTACATATGGATATGTAGCCACATTATGTCTATAGACCACAGAATAATGTTTCACTGGAAGCCAGCCCATAGGGGAAACAGGGCTACTTGGAATCGGAGTTTGACATACTAACATAGAAACACGACAAGCTGCTTCCTACCTTGCTCCTGCACGTAGTATGCCAAAAACAAATCAAGCTCCTTGACTGATACTGTTATGTGATGTGGCTGGACGCAAAGTGCTGGATTTGTGCAATGTGGGGATTTCATGAGCCGCTCTCCATCCGTACTTTCCAAGGGGATGCCTTTGAACAGGATCACCATGACTAGATCCAGACGCCAGACTTTGTCAGCCTGTCGCAGGCAGTCGATTCTCCTAATCTTACCCTTCTGGTCAGGATTGGACAATACACAGCATGGGTGCTTCTTCCCAGTCACCGTGAGCACAAAATCCTCCCGGAACTCTTGGCGAATATCTTTGCGCAGCTTGGCCAGGAGCCTGGATGCCCACTTCTGTTTAATTTCAGGCTTTTCGCTAAGTAGCTCATCCTTGACTGCTCTTTCCTCGTCCTTTGACATTCGTTTCTCATGTTTTTTAAAGTACTTGCGTTTTCGAGCCTGAAGGTTGAACCAAGTATAGGCAATTGCACGGACATGTGGAAGAAGTGCCTCAATGAACGGGTGAAATTCATCCTGTGGAAAGAAGTGGAGGGAAAAAAAAGAAGAGAAGAAAACTCAAAGTCAGTAAGTTCTCATAATCCAAGCAGTATCAAGATCAAGAAAGATTTCTGAAAAATCTTAAAGTGAAATCCAAGACGAAGAGAATAAACACTTAAAATTTACACAAATTTCTGCATAACACCTCTTATGCAATTACTACTGCTGTCAGGCAGCAGACAAAAAGTACACAGAGAATGACATTTTCCCCATATTTCACTCTTTGAAAGAACCATGTGAAGATTTTATTTTGTATGCCTCCCCTCACTTCATCCCGCAATGCTGCAGAGACAACATCATTTAAAAGAGATGCTATCAAGATGTTTTGTTTCTAACAATTAAATATCTGAGTGAACGGCTAACATCAAGAAAAGTACCATTGCACAAAGAGGACACTATACGGTTTTAAAAAATCTGAGCAGAAACGTTCAGAAGGCTGAGGCGAATGCCACAGTTCATTTCTCTTCTCTGTGGCACAGAAACACAAAGCATATACATGCTCAGTGTAATGCCACACAGTTCCCGCTTTTGGAGCATGCTCTCAGCAAGAGACTGCTGGTGGCACAAAGAGCATGCGCCATTAAACTTGATCCATTTTCTTATCAAACGTCCAACATTCCAGCACTGAAACAGCACCATTCCAGTGGTGGTAACTAGAGAAACCAGTATACAGTAAGGGAAAGCGGGCAAAAGACACAGCGTGTCGTATACAAATCCTGAACAGAAGCTTCTGTACTTTCAGCTCTTCGGGCTTCCCTCCCACCACCCCCAAACTCTGTAAAATAAAAGTTTATGAAGTTGAGAACAAAAATTACATTTATGTTCTTCCGGCAGCTCCACTGTGGGTTTTGAAGCCCCACAGAGTCAGTTAATTTGTTAACTGATCACATGAGTGTGGCAATTATTCTAAACCCCTTAAAAATCAATCTGAGGTGTACAATGAAAAATGGCAACTTGGCACAAACTTTGCATTCTTTGTGTTTCTGCATGCTGTGGCAGAGTGACATTACGAGTGCACCGCTGGTCAAATGCTGCTTTTGTGAAATCCATGCAATTTATTTAGAGTTCCAAAATATCCCTTTCTGTCATCTGGCTTCACCTGCAAGGTCTTATCTTCTGCCTAGCAGCAATATGGATTGCATTAAGGAGGTAATGCTTAGTTGTCGTCCACAAGTACATCCTATAGCAATTAAATTAATTCATTTTGTCTCCTTAAAGTACCATCCTACACATTCATGTCAATATCTAAATAGGCCTTTCCCAAAAACTAATGCCTCTTTTCTGTGAGCAAATCCACTGTTTAAAACAGTGCAATCTGCTTATCAAACATTACTGTATTTTGGTTTGGAAGGGAGACCTTAGGGGAGGTATCTTTCTTCCTGTGTGCAGGCATATTTAGTTTTAAATACCATGCAGACTGCTCATCATACTGAGTGGCATGGTGCAATCAAACTAAAACTGAACCTTTTTATACAATTATATTCAAGAATACAATTAACAAACTAATATTTTAGCTACACTGCTAGACAAGAAATGAATTATGTTTAATCAATAAGCTGATTAACTCCATTAGATAAAAATGATGAAAGTATAACTAATGGTCTCAATTATACAGAGTTCAGACTGTCATTGTAGAAGCTTCAGGCCAATAATTTAGTATTTAAATCTTCAAATTTCAAACAAACTTCAAAATTTCCTGAATGGTAAAAAAACCATGAGATCTAGTTGCCTCTCTTCCCTAACCATCCTCAAATCAAACAGAAAAAGACAGAAACGTTGCAAGCAATTCACCTATGACCATGTTACCTTCACAGGGGGAAAAAAAAAAAAAAAAAAAAAAAAAAAAAAAAAAAGCAGAGAAGAGAGACAATATAGGAAGATAATTCAGGACATAAATGATTGCATTACAGTATGATGCTTGACAAAGAGCCACAAAGGCAATAATTAAACTGATTAGTAGTTTCCAGCAGAGATTTGAACAATTCTGATACCATACTGGCACATAAAACTAGGCCATGGAAAGAGTTAAACCACAATCTGTTCTTTGTGTGGGAAGGCAATACTGCTCTGAGTAACCACAGCCCATGATAAGACTTCCCTATCTTCATATGCTTTCTGATGCCATGCTATTTTCCCCTTCAATTATAACTACTAAAGAAAGTTGGGTTTTTTTCTTCTACGGAAGTCATCTTAATCGAAGTATTCAAATAAAATAAAAAAAATTAACATAAGCACAAAGACTGTGTTTTAGGCTGAATAAAACAGATTTACTACAGATTTTGAAAAGTCTAACAGCTGGAGCTAAAGGTGGGGTGAAGGCAAGGGGCTGAAGAGCTTTGGAAGTAATGAATTTTTACCCCAATACAATGATTTCCCCAACATCTAAACAGACTTCAGCATTTATAACTTAAAATGCCAATAAAATTAAAGTGGAAATATTCTGCGCTACTAGAATACTGCACTTCTAGTTTTCATTTTTAAGAACACCACAAACTATTTCAGAATTGCTATGTCTTTAGGTAATGCACATAGTATTACCAACAATAACCTATAGGATTTTACATGTATGAAAATTTTATAGACAAAAATTCCACTTTTTACATTCTAGTCTGTAGTGGTTGAATGTTTCCTTTTCAAAGCGGGGGGGAGACGGGGGACGGACACACACGACACGACACACAACTTTTTAAAACTGTATTTAGGCTTTTCTTTCATAATATCATTAAGTCCGAAAGATACAAATATATGTGAAGGAGTGTGAAGGAGAAACACAGCAAAGAACATCCTGTTCTAAAGCAGTATTATCAGGTATCTTTGAGAGATTCATTATGCATCTGGAGTCCTTTCAAATGAAACATTACTTGACAAGAAGTGCCCATAAAAATGATCCTAAATGGAGATTTGCAATTAATCACACACGTTCTCCACTAAACCTCCTAAAAAGCCATCTACAGAATTTGATTTTTTTCCCCCTTAATATTCATACAGGCAATACTGAAATATTTTTTTTTATGTGGCACTTACCCGTGTGCCACAGTTGCTCTTGCAATAAAGTGATTTATGGAGGTAAGATTTTTCAAATGTCATATCAAATGGCTCAGGTGAACCATTGTGCACTGGCAATTTAAATTAAAATGGAAGTTACTATATAATATCTATGTAGCTTATAAATAAAGGAAAAAATACCAGTCATCTAATAATGATAGATAGGCCAGATTTTCTTTTTGGAAAAGGTAAAGGGGAAATGCAGAGCCCTTCTCCCATCTTCCAGTTTTATAAACTTTGTATCAATTCATGACAGTTTGAACTGAGGACCATAAAATAAATATACCAGGCAGAAGTCTAGAAATTTTATACAGAAAACTTTGTGTACTCAATTTCCCTGCACAGATTTTCTCCGTGCCTAATGAAATAATATATTCTAGGAGGAAAAGAAAATGACAACATATTCTGAGTTTCCTGGACCACCATAACACAAAAATAAACCACGGCAAAAATATCACAAGAGACCAAGCACTTAAAGGCATGCGGTAACTGCATCCTATCATGCCACAGCAAGAGAGATAAATGCAGTCATTCCAAAAGCAGGGGAAAGACGCGTATGGGAAGGAGAGGAAAGGACCCCCAAAAAATTAAATTGCATTTGGTAAGTCTTCATTCTTCCTTGGGGTTATTTTACACCCACCAGACTTCTGTTGAAACAATGATGGGTAACATTTGAATCGCCAAGGTTTGTCTTAAAGCTGTACTTTGGATTTTAAACTTGTTTCTAAAAGGTGCCTCAGCGCTGTCTCGGCACAAAATGAACTACTGCTTTTGCAAGGACCTCAGTCCATACAGGTGTGCTGTGTTCAGAACTTTTACCAAAATATTTTCTTCTGAGCATACACTACCACAGTCAATGTGCACCGCAAGAGCCCTAGAAACAGAGAACACAATAGAGAGAACAATTTTGGCAGTACTACTTTAAGTCAATTGCAACTCAAAATAAGATTAATCACTCTTTTGCTTTAAATAAATAAATAAATAGCACAGAGTATAAATTCTCATTGCCAGTGTAATCTTATTTTTTAATTTATGGAGAGGAAATATGATTTTTTAAATGTCTTTATCATTCCAGATAGGTAAAGAAAGATTCCAAATTAAAATCAATTTGCTGCAACTGTGTTCCATGTATGTCTTACTAAATGGGAAGTGTCTCTGGACAGCACATGATACAGTGTGATTATAAAATATTATGGAGAAGTTATCAATGCACAGAAGTCAGGAATTGCTTTCTTGTATTTATGGCTATAGAAGTACAATGTTGTGTTTCTGTACACACCTGAGTGCGGTATTTTAATACAGTTTTGTAAAGAACGAGGAAATCTATTACATCTCTGAGTCCAAAAAGCAAACATATGAGGGGGCAAAAATGTCATTAGAGCAGGAAACAAAATGAACTACCCACTGTAATAGAGGCAGTAGTGAAAATTTGCGTGTTTCCAGTGTAAAAACCACTTTCTTAAGTTGTAGTCCCAGGTTTATACTCTGGTGCAGAGGTCTTATTACCTGTCAATAATTTCACAGGATGGACAGCCCACACAGAATTAATTTTTACTAATTACAGATTCCGCTATAAGCAATTATTTCTACATGTGTACCTGTAAGCATGTGCATATCTGTTACACAAAACGCTTCCTACATGCACTCATTTCACTTTTGAAGAAGAAATATCTCAATAGTACTCTTTTCCAGCTTTGCTCCACTGCAGCTCACATTTACTTGCTGAAAATATCCATATCTAAGTCAATCACACTTAGATGCCAAACAAAATATAAACAATAAAAAATGTGTCAGCCAAAAAGCTACAGGACTGTATCCAATCACTGAATAAGCCTTATCATTGTTTCCATCTTCATTCACAATTTATGAATACTTCAGACCTTTTGAATTACAATGCTTTCTAATTGTGGAATAACTTAAATCGTATTTATTTATTCGCCGTGCAACTGTAAGCGCATCGCTGGCCGCTTAATAACAGTATTGCGGGAGACGTTACTTTCGCACATTTTCTGCTTCTTTAGCTATTTGTTGCACCAATGTGGAAGCAAGCACCTATCGCTCCATCAGTTTACATCACATCCTCCCAAGACAGACTTTCACGAAAGCTTCTGAAAACTATCCCCTGGCTTTACAGACCGGGTTTGCTCTCCGGAACACGCGCC